GTATGTCTTTGCATATACATATATATGTATATACACATGCTTAGATTTGTGGCACTCATGGGACTACCTTTCAAACGGTTCCTGGAAGTGAGCCGCAGTTTAAACAAGCTCCACGTGAAGCCCTCTCGTGAGTGAGCATGGCATCCTGCTGCATGTGTCAAGGCGAAGCAGGTTCTCGGTGGTCGTTTCGAAGCTGTTTGGTGGTAGAAGTCCTGAGCAGCCATGCACAAGACGGACCCTAAACCCTAAACGCTAAACCCTTAACCCTACGCATCTGCCTCGCTTCAGTTCGCTGTGCTTGACTTCGGACTGGCTGTGCGCGCCGACAAGTGGCGCCGTGAGTGGGGAGCCGGCTGCTCAGGTTTGCCATGGCTTTTGTTAGGGGCCTAAAGGATTTCCTATCTTATTTTTGGGATTCCTTATTCTATTATTGTTTTTGGGGGTTCCTTGTTCTATTCTAATTATCAGCTGCCAGTGCTTTCTGCTCGGGCTGAATAGACTAGTCAGGGCTGTTCCACAAGGCTAACACCTGACACGTCATATCCCCAAAAAAGGCACCAATCGTCTTGTCTCAAGTTCAGGAGCCTGGCCTGTTCAGACCGGAATAGGCTACTCGCATGCATGTTTCTCAAACACCTCTAGATTGTTTGCCTGCTGCAGACCGCATACTGTAGCATCGCGTTGAGAAGCTGTGGAATCAGGCATGTCACCAAGAAGTGAGTGTGGCTTGGACATTGACCTTCGTCTCCGCACGCCTCCAAATGCCCAGACTCGCAACATTGCGGGCGACCCGCGTTACTTTGCCCCAGCGGCCTGGATGCAGCTGACGTGTGGCCACAAGCGGCGGCCTGAGCCTTCCCAACCTTCCGCTCCTTCGGATCTCATATCGACAAGAGATCAAGCATGTGTGAAAAGGGGTATATACAGACATGATGTTCATGTCTGTATATGTATACATGCACATATGGATTGAACAGCTACAAGTAACAGTCACGGTAACGGACAGTCCACATATGCACCCGTCCATGCATCCATCCATCTCTCCATGCATACAAGCATCTATGCATTCATCCATCTATCCAGTTATCTATCCATGCATGCATGCATACATATGTGCCTTGAGACATGCATGCATACATACATCTACATTGCAGCATTGCAGTACAGTGCATTCCATGACATCACTTTTGTGCCTTACATTGCTTGCCTTACACGACATCCCGGTACACTGCGCTACGTGAAGCTGCATTACACTGCGTTACAATGCATTGCATGAGACCTTTATGTTACAAAAATTACAGTACACTGCAACACCTTGCCATGCATTGCATTTCACTGCATGACATTGATTAATGCATACATGCATACATACATGCTTACATACACACCTGCATGCAGGCAAATAGACAGGCATGAACACATGTATGTATGCATGCATGTATGTAGGTATGCATGTATGCTTGCACCTACGAATGTGTACGGTGTAGTGTAGTGTAGTGTAGCGTAATGTATCGTAAGGTAATATGATGTACACACTCGAGCCTTCATGCATTCATGCGCAATGGCAGGTATGTCGCCTGCCATCCAGAGAGTTGCTGGGTGAGCCTGGCACTCGTCTCTCTGCGCTTCACGTCGGCTTTGAGGGTTGCGGAATGTATACACACACATATACATATATACATATATAATATACAAACATAAGTATATATATATATATGTATATGTATATATAGAGAGAGACAAAAAGGTGTATATATATATATATAACACTGCAATTGGGGCCCAGCCTGAGCGAACAAGTTAGATGACTGAAGAGTCCAAAACAGTACTGCACAGTGGTTTTGTTGAAGGGTCTTGTAACTGTGACGTACAACTCAATTCAACGGCATGTGGGGCTTTAGTCTGCGATTGCACGTGCTGTTTGTGGTGCTGGTTCTGTGATGACATGCCTCTTGTTAAGGGTGTGCAGATGTGCCAGGGTCCATGCCCGCCTATGTTTTGGTTTAATTTCAGACTCGGATCGCCATTCCTGTTCACAACATGGGAGGGTGTGCGAGAAGTCTTGACACTTCTTCACAGGTTCAGTCTTGCAGCCCGCTTCTTCTGAATCTGAAGCCTGCACGCCCACGCCACATCACAACAGCCTCAACATAGGTCCGCTTGAGTTGTTGACCTCTACTTCGCTGTCCGATTTCCATCCCAGCCACACCTGATGCCTCAGAACAATATGCGCATCGTCTTGACCACTACTCCTTCGGCATGCTGATTCTGGAGGCAGGACGGTTACGGTGGCAGGGCTCCGACGAAGACCTTTCCAACGTTTCTCTCTCTCTTTCTCTCTCGCCCCGTATGCTCCTCAATGATGGTCTATAACGTTAAGATTTCGTCTGCCTAGTTATGACACCAAGTACCTTGACCCGCAGTCTAGATGTCAGGCTTCGCTTTCGAGGCATTCGGAGGCTTCGGGTCGGATTTGGTGTTCAATTCCTTTTTGGGGGAGTCTTTCTTTTCGAGATCTCGGTCCTGCTGCTTCGAGTGTCGGAGTTCATTTGTGTTCAAGGCTGGTTGAGGGGTACCCGAGATACCCGAGCTGAGCCAAAGTTCTAGATGATTGAGGCTTCTCTTTTGATTGCCCTCGGCTGATAGATTCATGGTGCAGATGTGTCCTTATATAACTGGTGAAACGGTTTCGGTCTGCTTCAACTGCCGACCAACCTGCCCAGATTGGCTCAGGAAGTCTAGCATTTCGAGGGCCCATGGATATAGAAACCAGAATAGTTTCGGATGTTGTTCCGTGGGCTTCCGTATTGAACTTACTGTAGGAGCCGAAAATAACCAATACTATTTCGGGGTTCCTTATCATAATTATGGTATAATGGGCCCCAAAACCCTAAGGCCCTACATAATGCTATGGTATCTAAGTCCTAAACCCTACGTTTTTGTAGGACCAGAGCCCCTACAGATCCCTTCAAGCCTCTTGGTTTTATAGGAACTCTACTCTAATGATTATGACTCCTATCTTCCCTCCAACCGACTCTAACGTAGGGGCCTAAATAACTACCAATACTATGTTGAGGGGTTTCTTACTGTAACTACAGTACCATGGGCCCGCAAAACCCCAATTCTAACTAGTAACGTCCCTAAACTCTAAACCCTTATGGTCTTAGAACCCTTTGAATAACCCTTATTGAACCCTTTTAAGAACCCTTATAGAACCCTTTTAAGAACCCTTATAGAACCCTTTATAGGAACCCTTATAGAACCCTTTATAGGAACCCCCTTATAGAACCCTTTTAAGGAACCCTTACAGGACCCTTTAAAGGAACCCTTATAGAACCCTTTTAAGAACCCTTATAGAACCCTTTTAAGACCCCTTATAGAACCCTTTTAAGAACCCTTATAGAACCCTTTTAAGAACCCTTATAGAGCCCTTTTAAGAACCCTTTATAGGAACCCTTTAAAGGACCCCTTATAGAACCCTTTAAAGGAACCCTTATAGAAACCCTTTAAAGGAACCCTTGAAAGGAACCCCCCAGCCTCTGCTCCGCGCTCCTGCCCAGATGCTCTTCGCGCTCTGGAAGGGCCCGGAGGCCGGCTTTGTTTCCTGCGAGGGGGCCCTCCGGTTTAGGGTTTAGGGTTTAGGGGTTAGGGGTTTGGGTTTAGGGTTTAGGGTTTAAGGTTTAGGGTTTAGGGTTTAGGGTTTAGGGCCTAAGCGAGGGGGCCGTCAAAACGGATGGGTAGTTCTCTAAATTAGGGTCCCTTTTTAGGTCCCCAGTATAGTACGGCACCCTGATAAAAAGGACACCAACAGGGACCCTAATTTAGAGTGCCCGGATCCTTTAGCCGTTAGCCTGCTTTTGGGTTTTTAGGGTTGGGAGGCCTAAACCCCAAACCCCTAAACCCCTAAACCCTTAAACCCTAAACCTTAAAAACCCTTAAACTTAAACCCTTAAACCCTAAACCCTTAAACCCTAAACCAGTAAACCCTTAAGCCCTAAATCCGGACCTGCCTTCTGAGTGTGAGCAGATTACCGCGGCTCCGCACCCCCCCGTTCTTGCTGTCTCTTTGCCTCTCCTCCCACGGGGCAGGCTGATGAAGAGGACTGGGCCCAAAGTGGCGAACTTTCGGACCAGGTAAAATCCTGGAGGCCTTGCAGTGATGAGTGATGGCATCTCTGGGAGACCCGTTGAGAGGGATCCTAGTGATGGAGGTACCACAAGTCCCATAGAGCTGAGGGCTTTTGTGTGGGTTGCAGGCCTCCTCTCCAGCTTTGACAGGTCCTCCTTTCTGACAACACGCTCGGCCCGGGTCCTCAGAAGCACTGCTCCGAATAAGGTTTATACCATAGGGGTCATAGGGGGGTTGTTATAATAAGGTTTATTGTATTGCTTACTACAAATATGGTTTTTCTATAGGGGTTGCTGCAAGGTTTACACTATGAGGTTTACCTTAGGGGTTGCTATAAGGTTTACTATACGGGTCATGGAAAGGAGTCAAGCTTGCAGCTTGCGCCCGGAAAGGCTTGGAAAGCCTGGTGGAAGACGTGTGTGCGACTTTTCCAATCCTTCCACAACGGAGGAGCCCGGGAGCAAAATCAGAGGATCTTGTCTCTCCCGATGCCTGTCATCCCTGTACTTCGTGGCGAGAGTTGAAAGGGGTCGGAATAAGTATTTACAGTATCCCCTTATGGTCCCTGTGAGAGTACTAATTTTAAGGACTCTGCAGGCATGCGAGGTTTGATGGCGACTGCCAAGAAGTCGGAGCAACATGAAGAGACAAGTGACTCTGCTTTCCTGTGCACGTACTTGCGTAGATGCTGTAATGTCTTGAGCCATCTCCACAGAGATGTTTCTCTTACGCTAAATCAGCATGCATTCCCGAAGCTGAACATCACCGAAAGGCTTTTCGGAGGCGATACCCTTTAAAAGGCGTTGGGTCCAGGAGTTGTTTGCTGACGGTAGGTGTAAGAGGACCCGGTTCAAGGGCAGTGCTTGCTGAGATGGAGCCCTTGTCTCCAACGAAACGGGTTCTCAGAGCCACGTATTCAAAGTTGCTGAGTGTGGAATCTCGCCTGATCTTCGGCGCTGCAGGAGCACATGCTTTGCGTGATGAATTCCTGGCCAGTGCCCCAAACTTGCTGCACCCATAAGCACAGAACGTGCCGGGGGCCGTAAGTCCTTCAGAACTAGTATTGCGGCATGGGTATATGCTGTGATATACATAGTATGGTCTGAGGAAGCGTATTGATTCATGGGCCCTTGCTTGGGCTGCCTTGTGAACATGGCCCAGGTAAACAGGAACCCGAACAAGAAGCAGCTGGCGATCGATGACCACTGCGACTTTTTGTCGGCGTCCCTTGGCCGAAAGAGTCTTGAGGTGGAGATTGTCCAGCAGCAGGGATCAGCTTCGGCATCTCAGAGCCTCACGATACGGAGTAGAAAGCCGAAGCCAAAAGGACAGCATTGCTGTAGTCGGGCTCGGCCCGATTATGTTCCCTCGGTTCGATTTCTCCGATGGTCCGAAGGTCTTTGGGTTCACACAAACCGAACCAGCAGCTCGAGATTATTGTTGTAATGTTTCGTGGTGGGGTTTGCCAAGGTTGCGAGGATCCTGTCGTAGATGCTTCCTTCAAAAGGTCTAGGGCGTCTAGGGCCCACTGCAAACGCCAAGGACCGTGAAGGAGATTGCGGCACCTTGCGCAGACGTTCCCGAAGGCCACTTGACGACAGCTTTCGTGAGTTGGTACTCGCCGCGGCCACATCTCATATATATATATATATACACATACATATACACATTATATATATACACATGTATATACACACATATATATATATATAGGCACATAAAAGTTGAGCTTTGGCCTTTGTGGCAATCCTTCGTGACGTCTGTGTGCAGGGCCAGGAAGCCAAGGTGACTAAGACGTGTGCGCGCAATCTGGGGGTTTCCGAAAATAGGGGACCCTAATATAGTACCCTAAATAGTAGGACCCTTATTATAAGGACCCTAATATAGTACCCTAAATAGTAGGATCCCTATTATAAGGACCCCAAAATAAGGTACCCTAAATAGTAGGACCCTTATTATAAGGACCCCAAAATAAGGTACCCCTTGTTTTCGGAAACTCCCATCTCGGAGATGCTTGTGCGCCAGAGGCTTCGAACGAGGGATCCAGTGCTGCTTCAATGTAGGGGCCAAATAATTACCAATACTATTTTGGGGGTTCCTTATTCTATTTATACTATAATGGGCCTCAAAACCCGATTCTAATCATTAGGGCCCCTACATTACTCCGAGAGTCTCTGAGCTTTCAAGCCAAATCCTGCTAAGCACCGTTCACCCTGCTGTGGCAAGGTGAACTGTACAAGAAGGTGTCCTTTGTCCTTCAGGCCTCGGATTGTGGGGTCTCGAACTGCACGGTTTTCGGGCTTTGGGAGTTTAAGAGTTCGACCTTTGCATCGCAGTAACCGCAGGTCCTAAAACCACAATCTCAAGGGCGGGATTGGACTTCAGGATTGTGATGCGAAGCTTGGCCCGTTGCTTCATTTCGGGAGCCTTTGATTGTCGTTTCTCTGATTTCAGGATATACAGGGACCGTGGAGGGTGTGGTGGGTTGTGCTTGGAGCGGCTTCGTAATAGATGAAGGGTTGTGGCTACAGCATGTCTCCTCGGAGGAGCTGGCCTGCATGCTAGAAGTCTGGGGCAACGTTCCACTTTCGGGCTAGTCGCTGCAGCGTGCGGGATTTCATGTCAACGTCTCAGCCGAAAACCTGCCTGAAAACGCGCAGTGTTCGAGCTAAAACAGAATCTCTAACTGCTTTCGACTTCGACTTGGGGTCTGGGCCAGGAGTTGTTTTCAACGCGACAGCCTGTCTTGGCTGCGAGGGGGGGTCTCAAGTGCTGGAGAAGACATGCGCGTTTCGACATGATTGTTTGTCGGACCGTGTGAGGGTGTTGGTCGTTGACGCCCCTAAACCCTAAACCCGGGAGAGCCGGAGACGAGAAAACTCTTCCGAGACACTTCCAGAAAAGACCAGCCCGAGCCAGCGAGACCACCAGCCACAGCAACGACACCACCAAGCCATTAACCGCTACAAGGCCAACAACCGTTGAGTTGCAAACCCTGAACCCTGAAGTCCCAAAGAGTTGACCCTCTTGCAGGGCTCGTGACATGCAGTTGACTGTCCGCCATCCGGAGTAACGGACTTGTCTTGTTCACGGGCCCCCAACCACACTTTTGCTAGGCGAATTCCCGCAGCCGCGGGTGGGTGAGGGCAGGAGGAAAAGGTGTTCAGAAAGCAGCCTGAAGCAGAAATCCCCACAGCCTAGACCCTTCCTAAACCCTTAAACCTCCAAAGCAGCCCAAAGGCATCCAAAGGCACAGGGGGACCTCGAAGTCCTGGCCCTACCAGCACCCCCTAAACCCTAAACCCTAAACCCTAAACCCTAACCCCCCCTTCTCTGCTCCGAGGTGGCCTCCGAGTTGATCAACCCGACTGGTAAAACCCGATGGCAGGCCAGTCGTACTATGGAAGAACGATGTGGCAGTTTCCGAAAATATGGGTACCTTACTTGGGGGTTCTTATAATAAGGATCCTACTATTTAGGGTACTATATTAGGGTCCCCTATTTTCGGAAACTCCCATGTATCCGACTTCTTTGTTGGTCTAAGTAACCTTTCTTCTACCTCTGTGTTAGATTATGGTTATCATACTCACTATTACTTGAGGTACTTGCTAGAGGTTAACTTGCTAACTGTGTAAATAATGCATTTGTTGATTACCATGCTGCTTCAATCAGCAGTATGCGTGTGTTTGTTGTGATCGTTCTCATTTTTGGTGTGTAGGTGATGATGATGATTATTAATATATCGGCGAAGATGCTGTTGATGATGATGATGATGATGATGATGATTGTTACTGGCTGTTATCATTCCTTGTCGTTCAATTTTTGCTATTACTGTTATCGTTTATGGTGTCTTGTGTTTGTTGTGTTGCTCATTCCCATTATTACTACTGTTGTTATTTTTCATTGACTTTTTAGTTAATATCATCGTTAGGTTCCTAAGCCATCAAACCTGTTCGCCCTAGTAAGCCCTTGAGGATCCTCCAAGACCCTGTGCCCTATTAGGGTTTAGGGTTTAGGGTTTAGGGTTTAGGGTTTAGGGTTATGTAGACCCTAGAAGATCCCTGTAGGATCCTTGCCCTAAACCCAAGGGTTCTGGAGAGGTTGGGAGCTGAGGCGTCTTCGGCACCTTCTTGAGGTGTACTTGTGACAGAGATCCCCTCATGATCTAAGCTTCCCAGCCCAGAGCCCTAACACCGAAACATGCGCTGAAAGCAATAGGATCTGAAAGCCCAGAAGCTAGTAGCATTAGTATTATGAGTTTTCGTGTATGAGAGTTATAGTGTTAGTGTTACTTAAAGGATCATGGGACTTAGTAAGTAGGGTTATAATTAGGGTAACTATACTTATAACCCCAATTAAGGGACCTATAACCTTACTTGCTAAGTCCAATGAACCTCCAAGTAGTATTGTCAGGAGATCCACTGGCGCCTCCTCAATCTGACCGGTGAAGCCTCCAAGCTGCACGTGCGCTGCCCGGTGGTGGGGCCTCTCCCCGGCGTTTCGTGTGCGGAGTTGAGACGGTTTAGGGTTCAGGGTTTAGGCTTGAGGGCTTTAGCGTTTCATGTAGGGTTCAGGGTTTGGGGGTTTAGGACTTTAGGGTTTCTCATTTGGGGCTTAGGGGTTCGGGTTTTAGGGATTGTTGTCTTACTTCGGTTTCCGGATCGATTTGCGTTGCTTGGCCCAGACTTCTGGAGAGATGTCTGCCACAGCTCTTACAGACTTCAGAGTGAGGTGCAGGGTTTGTTCACGGAAAGGCAGTAGGTATGTGGCTTGGTTCGCTGATCGTGAATGCTCCTGGCATTTCTGGCCTTCGATGAAGCATAATAAGATCAGCCTGCGATTTACTCTGGACTCCGGACATTGCGGCCCTAAACTGCCCTAAACCTCCTCAAATCCTCAAAGCCATATCCTGCTCCTCATGGCAGACCCGTCGCAGACACAGAATAAGCACCGAGCCGGCCGCGCTCCTGTGGGACTTCCTGGGATTCCCAATTCTTTTTGGAGCCTCCAAGATCTCTGAGAGTCTTCCTATTAGGGTCCCATATGGGTAGTTGTCAAAATTATGGTCCCTTTTGGGGTACCCTAAATGATAGGTGCCATATTATAAAAAGGACCCAAAAAGGGACCATAATTTTGACAACCACCCATATGGTATTTATGGTAGACTGGACCCCAAAGCTCTGTTCCAATCATGAAGGCCCCTACATTATGCTTCCTTGGCTTTCATGGAGGTCCCAAGGGCGCCGGGGCTCTTCAGAGAACTTCACCTGTGTGTACTTCCGAGCAAGCTTGTTCACTGGTACGTGTAATGTTGACTAGTCATATCTGCACAGAGTCGCAACAGAAGGAAATCCCAGCTTCTACCATACAGACATCTCAAGGCAGAGTTCACCTGTCTGAAACTAATCCAATGCTGTGGATTTTGCGTTTATACAGCTGTGCTGAAGTGCCCGTCTTGAGCCGCCACTTACAACTCGACTTGCCATGGCCATGTGCATGTCTCGATCTACCGTCATGGAGCAACAGTGCGAGGTACAGATTACAGATTGCAAGTCAAACTACAGCAAGGCAAAGTCCGGAAGAGTTTCAAAATCCCAATGAACGCGTGCCCCCCCCTAAGCACCCTGCAGTGAAAGCCTTACGTACAGGCTGAGCCTCGAATCCGACAACACGAAACAAGCCAAAACCGCCGAGCTGAACTCAAACCAGCCTGTGCAGCCTTTCTGCCAGCCTTTTCTGGAAGTTGCTGGAACCTGCGATACATCAAACGCCCAAGTGGTTGTGAAGGTTTCAGTTTGAGTTCAGAGTTAACGGCTTCAGGGTCAAAGCGACTCTCGGGGGATGTTGGGCTTTGCCTACGTCCTGTCACGATTTCGGTGTCGCCCTACACCCTCGACAGCCAAACCTGAAACATCTCAGACCTCCTCCTTTGGAGCTGTGGCGCAGATCGCCGCCGAGGCGCTTGCTTTGTCCCTTCTTACAGTTCAGGGTGTACTTATCGTCTTTGGGTCTTCTTGATCTTAATTCGGTGCCTGTTCGGGGATTGCATCCAGGTTTTAGGTGTTAGCTAGGCTTCTGGATGGAACAGGTGTTGAACATTTTGGGGTTGTGGGGCAGTAGGTCTTGGGTCCTGGCACTTGGAAGCTGGGAAGGCAAGGAACATGCTCGAGACACGTACCCTAAAGCGCACACTGTAAGCCTCAAAGCCTAGAACGCCTGAACGTTCAACTTCACCCTAAAGCGCCCAGCCCCAAAACCCTAAAAAGCCTAAAGCCGTAAACCCTAAAAACCCTAAACCCTAAACTCTAAAACCCAAAAGCCCCCAAAACCCCCGAAACCTGTGGCGGGCAGGTCGAAGAAAGCGACGACGAGGTGCTTCTCCCAGTGCTAATTTGAGTAAACAGCCTGCTCTCGGCTCCAATGAGACGTAGAGTGGATCTGGAAGAAGCCCTCGAGAATTTATGGAGTTGCCAAAAAAACATCCATTATAGAGACCCTGGTAAGGGTCCGAGTCAGCAACTCCCAGGGGATGCTCGAGAATTTTCGAGGGCCGACAGAATAGGAGCATTGAGAAGCTTTTAGTTTAAGTCGTGATCGCAGTCTGCCACCCACGACTACTGCTCCCTGCTGCTGCCATCACTTCCCTTCCCGCAACCCCTGCGACGACGTTGCCTGCTACGGCAGAGTACTGTTCCCAGCATATCCAGGGTAGTTAGTTACAAGATCAAGACAAAGAAGAGTGTTCACCGTAAGACACATCTCAGAGTCCGAAAGCTTATCAACCTTGGCAATAGCCCTAAGACTCAATAATGCTATTTTCAGAACATAAACTTACGAATACTAGGATCAGGACTGAGTACCTATTGACTGACTAGGTCAACATTCTACCAACGCTAAAATCAATATCATCTCCACCGATTCTAATAGTTCTAGTACTGTCACGAATAATACGAGCAACATGCAGAAGAATCATGCATACTTTGGAGTATCGCTGTGATGAGTAAAACGGTGGAACGTGTACAGACTGCAAAACATGATAGTTATTCGAGAACGAGGAACCGTCGTCAGCATCATCAGCGTCGTACCCATGGCCATCATCAGCGATTCGCCAACCCAAAGCATTCAGAGTCCATAGGCCCTAAACCACAAGCCCCAAGCACAAGCACCACCAAACATTGAAGCCGGCCTCCGAAAGAGCAGCGACAAGTTCCAAGCTGGGAAATCTCTTTCCAACACCCAGGCCCAGCCAACGGTGGAGGCCACGTTCGCGGTGTACCGCCGCAGAATCTGAGACCGGTGCTTGTCACATCAGTTGCCCATCGGTCCAGTTCTGTCGCAACATGCGCTGTGAAGATGTCTTTCTGCCTCCTACCTCCCCAAATCACGCCACGGATGTCACTAGTTTGGATCATCCAGAGACGAGAATCCGTGCTTCTCCAAGCCTTGCGCGGACGCCTACTAGACTCAGATGCTCTGCTACGAGTTACTAGTTACTAGACTCAGATGAGACTTTCCAAAAATAGGGGGTACCTTAGTTTGAGGTCCTTATAATAAGGATCCTATTATTTAGGGTACTATCTTAGGGTCCCCTATTTTCGGAAACCCCCATAAATGATCTCCAAGACTTCTTAAGACTCGGATCCTCCCCTAAACCCTAAACCCTAAACCCTAAACCCTAATCCTCCTCCCTGTCGCAGTCCATGCCATCCGATTCGTCCTTCGGAAGTGACGCCGACCTGGTGGTCACCAAGGCCTCGGGGATGGCACTTGGGGAAAAGAGCATGGGGTTCTTGGGGGTTCATGGGTAGTTATTAAAGTGGGGGGTTTAGGGATTAGGGATTTAGGGCTTTTAGGGTTTAGGGTTTAGGGATTACGGATTTAGGGTTTGGAGGTTCATGGGGAGTTATAAGTGGGGGTATAAGTAAGGTAACTATAGCTATAACCCATATTAGGGGATTTATAGCCCTACTTATAACTTATAACTACCCACGAACCTCCAAGTTTCCGGTGCAAGTCACCATCGATCTATGCTGTCTCACCGGACTCTCGGCAGAGCGTCAATGTTTTCTTTGCTGCATTTGACACTGCCACTTAGCTTTCCAAGCCTGCCCTCGCAAATGGGCAAGACCGGAAATTCTCAAAGCGGAACCCCAAATCCGATCACTGTAATCCCATCTGAGACTTATATAACCTTGAATGGCACAATGTGCGAAAGCATGCTTCGGTGGGGTGGAGGTGGGCTCGAACTACAGCGACGAGGCGGACAAGGCCGCGGAGTGTTTCTTCATGGTTCTTTGCTATCGGTGTCTGCTGCTGTTCTAAGCCTTTCTTCCACAAAGCAGGATGACCGGCAGGACTGTAGACTGTAGAGTTAGAGCGAGCCTTCAGCATTTCAACCACTCTACGCCTGTTTCCTGCGCTGCAGGTCTGGGGCTTCGGCTTTAGGGCTTGAAGTTCAGGAAAAATTGGCAGAATTGCACATCGAGTCCGACAAACTGCATGGGATAGCAGTTGTGGCAGTTATGGTTTGATGGGGAAGGCCACAGCGTGATATCCCTGGACCTCGAGAACAGGACGCCTTGTTCCGAAGTGTCTCACTGCAAATGCCACAGAAACTCAAGATCCTGGAACCCAAAGCAATTGAACGCAATGCCCACCCGAAGCAGATCGCGATGGTCTTGTAGTGGTTCGTAAACACCACGAAGTTAGGTGGGGTCTGCTCTGAACTGCGGACCCTTTCCAGTGTCCTTCGTCCCGTCGGCCTCGGAAAGGAAGCCTTATACAGGGACCTTAATAATTACCAATACAATAGTATTTTTGGGGTTCCATATTTTGCTTGTAGCATAATATACCCCAAAGCCCTATTCTGATTATTGAGGCCCCTATATTGCTTCAGAAATCAACATCCAGGTATCCAGGCTTCCGGCTCTGCGAACCGCCCTGAAGTCCGGACATCGTCGAGCTGGGTCCCCATGGGTTTAGGGTTTAGGGTTTTGGGGGTTCGGCAGGGACCCGCTCTGCTGGGTTGATATTGGGCTCCCCTGCATGTGGGTGGTTGTCAAAATTATGGTCCCTTTTTGGGTCCTTATTATTTTACGGCACCTATTGTTTAGGGTACCCCAAAAGGGACCATAATTTTGACAACTACCCACAATGTGTTGGGTCAAAGCTTTGGAGTTTCAGGATTTCCAGCTTTACGGTCCTCGGCTTCGGGGTCTCAAGGTTTTGGGCTTCGGGCCAAACTTGGTCCACGAAGACCCCACCATGAACATGCCAGAAAAGAATAGGTCACTAGGATCCCGCCCAACGCGTCGATTTCCGAACAGACAGAATTCCAGGATCCCCCAAGCCGCAAGCCCAGTACCCGGGAACGGGAGACCAGCCGTTTAGGGGTTCAGGGGTTTAGGGTTTAGGGGTTGAGGGGTTTAGGGGTTTAGGGTTTAGGGGTTTAGGGTGTAGGGGTTGAGGGGTTNNAGAAAAGAATAGGTCACTAGGATCCCGCCCAACGCGTCGGTTTCCGAACAGACAGAATTCCAGGATCCTGAAGGCGGTATTCCGGACTCCCCACCATATCAGTGGAAACAGTCCGTCCGTCCGTGGAGCCTGAAGAAATCGTGGCCAGCCACCGATCATCCTGCCTGGCCCAGATTTGGACCGAGACAGGGCTTCGTGTCCCTGACAAAGAAATGCTCAAGGTGTGGTGTGCAGCTTTGTGGACTTCTGTGGAAAAGCTCGGCTTTGACATGCTGACTTGTTGATCCGTGGCTCGTATTGCGTGGCAATCTGAAAAGTAAGTCAAAAATGACCGCCGTCGAGCATGAACATCTGCACATATGTACACGGTCAGACATGTATGCTGCATCAACGCGTGAGGCAGCCGCATGCATGTTCGCTTCATCCAGCTGTGGGCAACTTCTCCTGCATACGGGCGTGCATGCGAATGAGCAGACTGCTCTCACGCTGGTGTCTCTACGCCATGCAGCATGCCATTACAATCATGCTAGTTGCCGCCTACTGTTCCCTCGGCATCGTGTATTCATGTCATTCTGGCTTAATTTTCATCAACCGTTTAACATGACTATATTATTGATGTTGTTGTGAAAACCCACCGATCCCTGCTCTGATGCTCATACACTGACACACCCTTTCTGGTGAGCAGGCAGCGGAGAGCTGATGGCAGCTCGCCTATCTTAGTGTCTTAGTGAGCTCCCGCCAAGTGGTGGCAGCCAAGGCTGCAAAAGCAGCCCTACTGGCGACCAGGGTGGTCCTTTTCTGACGTCTGCCAGAAAGAATGACGAACGAGAGTATGTGGGGCCTTGTGAATCCTTCTGAAAAGGACGACCCTGATGGTGACCACATGCGCGGTCCGCGGTCCCCGAGCCCCCGAGACGGGGTTGCATCCTCAAAGAGGTGCTCGTTCGCTGAGATATGCGCTTTAATTGCGCGACAAAAGGACATGCCAGCTTCATGCAGGATGTAATTGAATTGAGGAGGATCGCTGTTGAGCTGTCTAGAGACACACGCCGTCCTGCTGTAGATTTGCGGTGGCTGTTTCTTTTCCAGAAAGCCGAGGCGTAAGCTCAAAGCAAGCCCACTCAAGCCACTGTCAACCTTGAATATGTACCCGATTTCCGAGCCTTACTAAACCCGAAGCCCTGCTTCCTACACTTATATAGCCTTCCCAAGCCCCTTAGCCTTAGCCTAAACCCCAGCCTTTGCAGTTCCCTGGACTGGAAGTCGCCCCCAGGGTCGAACTCTCATGATGTGTGTCGCCGTGCCTTTCTTCATGGGCCTAGAAGCGAGGCAATAGGGCTGTAGCGGTTTAGGGTTTAGGGTTTAGGGTTTAGGGTTTAGGGTTGAACAGGTCTTTGGGTATACAGAAACAGTTAATCAGCCACATACCTAAACACATAAATATCACGATGTGGTAATGAGACGTACTGCCTGATAGATAATACCTGGTACATGTCATTTCAGATATTGTAGTACATGCGATATGCGGTATCTGGCAGACGGTAGATGATTCTGGTTTACGGTTTAAGGTGTATGGTATAGGGTAGCTGACAGATGGCATATGCTGTATAGTTAGTGTTATACCTATTGTGCCTCATATGACATATGGCATATGATATATGTCATGCTATATATGATCATTTGATGTAAGATGATGGAGGGTGGATGATACATGGCTTTTGATACATGTAGCATGGTCTTCCGGATATGATACTTGGTATATGGTATACGATGTGCGATTTTTCATATAAGAGTTCTGGTATAGGGCGTGTGATCCATGGCTTTTTTGTGATATGCTATATGGTGTGATTTATGTCATGTGGTGTATGATTTGTGATCCATGTCTTTGGTATATGGTATGTGACATTATATACGGTGCATGACACAGATGATACATGACTTATGAAATACGGTTCATGATGCTATATGTACATACATGCATTGACCTATGTATATCTATGTGTCTGATGTGTATCCACGCACAGACACAGGAAGAATGTGTAGATAGGCGGGTATTTGTGTGAACACGTCAAGGTTTGGTGGTTCAGGGTTGAGGGCTTGTCCGGGCTTGATGGCTTTACGCCACAAGCTTCACTTCAAAAGCTACTCGACCATGGAAAGATCCAGCACTCAAATGCCCCTACGCTGCTCGACAGCAAAAGAGAGACATCAGCTTACAAACAGCATCACATTGCATGTCTCCAAAATCTAACGAACTTGCTGTGGAACAGCCGTCGTCTCCGAGAGCCTTGCTCAGGTTTTAGATGAGAATCTCGTGGCTTCGCTTGCTGGGCTTCGCCGCCACGTCGGATGGTCGTGCCTGATATGAAGAAGGATATGTGGGGTTCGATGATTTAGGGTCCAGTTCCGAGAAGAAAAGTTCAGTAAGACTTTCTGGTTACTTCTAGTGATCTTAGATTCTATGGTGCCTGATGCCACGCACATGTGCCTGCATGTGCGAGCACCGTTTAACCAATCAACCAACTGGCACCCTCTTCAAATTTAACATTGCCTGCTTCGTTGGCTCAGGTTTGCCTGAACTGCGGCAAGCGGCCCGAGTTTCGGTGCGCAGGTTGCGGCGTCGCAAGATTTTGCTGCCAGGTGCGCTGCAGCCCACAACACGGTTTGCTTCGCTCATGTGCTTTTCCTTCTTGTTCTTGTTTCAATAACCCTAAACCCTAAACTCTAAGCCCTAACTCTTTAACATGTAGAACCAATGGAGGGCCGAGAGGTTCTTTATTGAAAGCAAAGAGCAGAGGAAAGAAATCAAATAGGGAAGCGTATACCAAAATGAGCAAATGAACTCGTGCATCTATTGTTCCTTTATTTGTTTGTTGCATTCGTTTCGCTGCGTTAACTACGTTCTCTTCACTTTGTAGGCCATGACCGACGAATGCTGGTATGTAAGTCTGGCAGTTGTCGGCCGTACATCACGTGGATGTATGCGTGAACTCGCAAAACTGCTCCGGTCAGAAGTGAAAGGGTCTAAGAAGGATACGTGCAGCAGTTGGGTATGACAAACTTAGTGGCTGAGTAGGTAACCTTTAACCTTTTTGGGGTTTATATAATCCTACCATCATTGAAAAGGTTAACCTTTTTTGGGCTAGGGTACTCAGCCCCTAAGCAAAGAAGCTCATGCGAGGCCTGTCAGCGTGCTTGCTGGAAAGGACACCGCCCGCACTGCGGCCTGCCCAAAGCCGGACAAGACTACTGTTGCCGTTAGTTATTTTGTGTTCATAATATGTACAAATATATATATATATATATATGTGTGTGTGTATATCTTGTATGTCTGTATATATATATATACACAGAGAGAGAGAGGGGCTACCCTCTACACCCTAACCCTGGCGAAAGAAAGAGAGAGAGAGAGAGAGAGACAGACATTAAGTCTAGAATGGGGCACCGCGCAGCGGCTGAGCGGTTTTGCTGGATGGCCTTTTTACCGGTGTTCTCCTCCACAGGGCTCTTATCAATTTTCGGCTTCTGCCCACCCCGGGAAGGTTCTCGACAGCCAGGCCAGTGCCCCCACAAGGACTGTGAAAAGGACCAGCCTGATTTTCTGAGGCCCGACATGATTCAGGGCTATAATGTAATATGATATAATTCAATACAATATCATCTAATATAGTATAATACAATACCTGTGTGTGTGAAATGGAAGTCAGAGCTGGACAGAGGAAACGGTTGAGCCTGTACAGTCATGATGAGTACAGTAGTTTTGCCTTCAGCGTCTTGGTGGTTTCTTCGTGAGATAAAGTGCTTATCTCGAGGATGATGATGATGACGTCGTCTTCGTCTGCCGAATCTTGTTACATAGTGTATACTGTAACATTTCGTATCGAATGTTCAGTATATCGCATGTAATATGTAGGATATAGTAGGTAACCCGTAATATGTATAGATAGTATTTAGCTGCATTTAGCCGAAATTCATATAAAGTGTAATATGTTAAGTCATACTCAATATTCACTATGTAACATACACTAGGTAACCAGTTTTCATGTTGTCCCGCTTCCTTGCCCAGGTGGCAGCGTGCCAGACCTGACAGCCAAGGACCTGGTGGAGAATGTGCCTGAGGCACGATTTGTATTTGGTATAATATAGTTATATTTTATGTGTGAGAATACGTTGTATACTGTATAGGATGACTACAGCCATGGCAGTGATGATGGTGTTCATGAAGGGAGCAAGAACTGCGACCCGAAACATCAGGAGCAACAGCAACACTGCTACGAGCAGCAAGAGCAATATGGGCAATAGTGCGGCAGTATGGAATCCGAGTCGACATCGGCCATCAGATAAAAGCAGAACAGCAGTGTGTTAACGTCTCTGCGACCAAGGCTGCTGCCACTGGTTAATTGCAGCAGCCGCAATAGGACTAGTCAGTACCGTTCTTGTCAGCACGGCCAGTAGCATGCAGGGCTTGGCAACACCCTGCGCAAATACCGGCCCAAGCCCCGAGATGGTCATTTCTTTCGACAGGCCTTCGCATCAGCCTGGCCGGAAGAGGCAGGCTGCAACAGAGACGTCCCAAGTCAACTTCATCATTCTTGAATCCTGAACTAGCATGTCGGGTGTAAAGCGAGCGGCCAGCCTGCATCATTTGCAAGAACGGTTCCTCACATTGCTTCGGGCTGCCTAGCATTTTGATGTGATAGCCGATGCATTGCCAAGATTGATATTGCATCAGTGTGACGATGATAGCGGGGACGGCAGGAAAGTGTCGATGACGACGGGGACAATGGTGATACTGCTTCTGATGTTGATTCTGGTGGTTATCTAAGAGAGCAACATTGCCGCCATCCTCGTCAACACACCCAGCATCATTGTAGATATTGTTGCCTTGGTCGTTATCCTCCGCATCCTCATAGCCACCATCAGCAATCATCGCCATCATCCGCGTCGTTATCACTCGCCAACACCAGTGGCATCATCACCCCATGCCCCTGACCCTTTTCCCGATTCTGGTCGTTGTGAATAAAGTTACCACCAACAGGCTCCCTCTTCTTGTTGCACTTCTTGTTGCGGTCGTCTTCGTAGTCGTGATCGTCGTGATCGCCACCGTGTTCGCGGCAGTCCTCGTCGTTGTCGTGATGGTGGTGCTGATCGATTCGGTAGTCGTCGAAGTAGTAGTGTTAGCAGTAGCAGTACTTGAAGTGCTGTTGTGAATGTTGACCGTGGCTTCAACAAAGCATCGCTGCATGACGGGGTGGCAAGCTTGCTTCGGCCCATTCGAAGCAGTAGTCGTGGGAGTACATCATGGGGGATCCAGTCATCCAGTCAGGCGAAAGTTAGCCCAGCTTCTGCAGAAGCTGATGTACTTGGAGGTTCATGGGTAGTTATAAGTGGGGTTACAAGTAAGGTAACTATAGTTATAACCCATATTAGGGGATGTATAGCCCTACTTGTAACTACCCATGAACCTCCAAGTAGGCAAGATACCACGACCAGGAGCAGCTGAGCGACGCGCTGCTTTTGGCGCAGCTGCTAAAAGCGCTGGGGGTGTGCAAGGAGATGCCGTGCTTCGTCAACTGCTCAGTCACTAGGTTCGGTCAAGTCTGTACAGGGGACATTCAGAAGAGCTTCCCTTAAAAGCATGCACCTTGCATGCCCAGCGTGGTGAACTTGTGTTTTGATGTGAACCAGACGCCTTAAACCTAAACCCTACACGCCTAAAGCCGAAGCATGAAGAAGCCCTACGTGCCAAAGTGTTGCCGATGTCTTGGCAAGGACGGGCGCATCCTTGGCCAGCAGCCGTTGCTCGAAACAGAGGCCCTGCAGCTACTGAGCACATGACAAAAGGGTTCATTATTCATACTGTAGTATAATATTGTACAACCTAGTATAGCGAGGCATCATAGAGTATAGCATAGTACAGTATGGTAGAATATGGTATCATATTGTAGGTGATTGTAGAATATAGCAGAATGCAGTATAGTTGACGAACAAAACTCTAAAATCTACGAGATATGCCGGTATGAGGTGGCGAGAGCCACGAACGAGACCTAGCACCGCCCTAGTTATCCCTTCGAGCCAACCGCAGAGAGGCCTCTCAAGCCCAGAACCCTAAACCCCTGAACCCCAAAAACCCTTAAACCCTAAACCCCTGAATCCCCTGGGCCCTAACCCCTAAACCTCTGAACCCCTCAGCCCTAAACCCCAAACCCGGCAGCTTTGGGAGCACATCACGAAGTCCCGCCGCGGCCTCGCTGCCCTTCTCTTCGGGCGGAACTGTCGCTGGGCCATGGCTACCATAGAGTATAGGGTTTCGGGTTTAGGGTTTAGGGTTTAGTCTAGTATGGTATAGCTGGCTACAGTATGGTATAGTAGGTTAGAGTATAGTAGAGTATAGTACAGTAGAATAGGGTGTGATTATGGCATAGTGTGGCAGAGTGTGGTATAATAGAATAGATTGCATTAGAGAATATTCCTTTCGAGCGACTGAAGCAGTAACTTCCATCCGAGGCTGACGCCGACAATACTGCTGACACCACTTCTGCCGATGCTAGCGAGAGTCATGATGTTCACGTTATTCTGACGAGTATGTTTGAAGTTTCTGCTGGCAAGGCTACGGCCCCGAAGGGCCCAGAAGGAGTCGGTTTAGGGTTTAGGGCCTTCCATCGAGGCTTCCGCACTTCGCTGCTGCCAGCGGTGCGCGCGCTCAGTGCATTGGGGCAGTGGCCGCTACTGCTGAGTGCCAGGTGCCTGAGCCCGAGTCAACTACTGAGCCCTAAAGCCCCAAACCCTAACATGTTATGTTGCCAGCTTTTTTCAGGATTCCCGGGGTGCATCGAGTTATAGAGTTTAGAGAGCGGCCCTATAGTGTCATAGCCCGACCCTTTGCAGGAGCAGCGCGGTCAGATAAACTTGCAAGTCTTACAGTATTCGGTAGTACCAGCACTGCAAGAAACGGCAGCTGTAACAGGCATAGAGTAGAGACAATAGAAGGCAGTAAGCCAGCAAGCAGTTCCAAATCCCAAAACAGACAGCGCCGTACGGCATCAAATCCTGAAGTCGCAAAGCCGGGACTCCGAAGAACCCTGAAATGCTGCAGCGCGCATGCCCTGAAGCCCTGCGACCACTGAAACTTCATAAAGCAGTATCGCAGCAGTCCCGCCGCAGCAGCAGTATTCCCGGCCGCCCAACTTGACTGATTGTATTGGTGGTCTCCTCACGTGCTCCTGAAAGGGGAACTTAAAATGATGATGACGCAAGCCAGGCTCATGGGTTCTTGTAAGTGCGTCACATCCTGGGTTATCACTTGCTTGAGGCCGCAAGGGCACGTGACCGAACTCCCATCGCTGGACCGGGAATCTGCTGTCACCTTGTGTACTCAGGCTCAGGAGCCCTTTAGTGGGGCATCTTTAGATGGCAGTTTCACGTGCCTGAACTGCGGCCGCTTACATGGCCAAGCTAGCAGGAGACAAACCAGCTTATGAAGCCACCTGGCTATGACGACGACCATGATGATGATGGTGTAGCGTTCCTGTCTGTGTTGCAGGAGCTTTGCGCCACGCTGGCCTGGCGCGTGCTTGGCGCCGCACGGCGTGTGCGTGCCGAGGCGTGAGTTTCCGTGGCTTCTGAAGCCCCGAGCCCTCGAGCCGGAAGTCCCGCAAGCCATATTCACAATTAGTTTGCTAGTGTAACATAGGGCCACAAGGGCCACATGCAGTGGTGCTCAGCTGCAAGCGTCCATTGAAGACGCTGCTCGGCTTCAGATTTCAGATCGCAGGTGTAAAGGTCGTTGCTTAGGAGCCGTGCTGGCCAGCTGCTGAGCTGGGCTCGAAGTGGACTACTTGGGATGGTCTTTCTGAGTCTGAGGACAATCCAATATATGATATGGATGCCATTGACCACTACATACTTGCAACATGCCGAAGTAGCAACAGTACTTCGTACGGTTCGTTGAAATATATCATTATGGCACAACATAGCCCACATGCCCATTCTGTTTGTTTCGGCTCGGAATTGAATTGTCCTTTTTGCTGGCACTTGCTGAGTTTGGCAGCAAGAGCAGACAGAAGCTTTGCTGAGTTGTGCTGCCGCCAGCGCGAAATATGCAAATGTCAAACCAAGACCATCAAAGCTTTCATACAGCAGTTGGTACCCCAAACCCTAGACCCTAAACCGTCTTGTCCGTGTGTGTCGTTCCGCCCACGGGTTGCATCCATCAGATTCCTCACGCTCCTCCAGGGTCATCGGCGCTTGATCTTCCTCGGAATTGGCTCAGGCACGCTTATGAGGCTTAGAGCTTATGGGGTTCAGGATTTAGGGCTTAGGGCTCCAGTAAGCCATGGTGGACTGCATTCCCGTACAGTTGTCCATCATGGTATATGCTACTGGTATCTACTAGAAGCTGTATTACTGATACATGATCGTATGAAAACGGTCACTGCGTCGACTCTGCAAGGTTGTACTGGTTGTAGTAGTCGTCGTCCTACTCCTCCTCCTCCTCCTCCTCGTCCTTGTGCTTGTCCTGTGGCGGTGGCGGTGGCGGTGGCCATGTTGTCCATAGTGGGTAGAAGCATTAGCAGCATGACAGTCTTGATTGCGCAATGGCAGGTGACTCCTTGGTTGAGGCTTCGGTGACGCTTCATTTGGCCGCAACTCAGCGAAAAAAGCTGAAGGCATAGGTTCTTGTCTGGAGGATCGGCATAGCTGATTAAGTAGGCTCAGAAGTCCGGCTTTCTCTCTATTCAGGAGGGTCATGTGGCGAAAGTCACACCTGGTTATGATGAGTAGGGCGCAGGTTACACGGTCCCTTTGCCTTCCAAGTCCAAAATTGTGGATGCATTCGAGTATGACCAGAAGTATTCTCCTACCGGTTAATGTTATATACGTATATACGCGCACAAATGTGCGTTATACATATATACATATACACACACACGCGTGCAATCACAGCTGCATGTGCATCTAATTTACATGTACATGTGCATATACATATATACACATCTACATGCACGCATTTGTACGTTGTAGGGGTCTTTTGTTTTTCTCACTTTTCCTAGGATTGGGGGTCGGCAGTTTACGGTCCAGCTCTCGTTCCTTGAACACTTTCCGGCTTTCGAGTGCCC